TTTTTGTGATCTTCAAGGAAGAAGGAAAAAGTGGAATCATCTTGGAAGCTCAAGACATCTTGGATCCATAAGTATCTCACCCTCAAGCATCATTTGAAGGTAAAAAGCTTGGATCTTGATGTGTTATTTGCTTAGATCTTGCTAGTCTAGAGTTTGTGTGCATTTTTGGTCCCATAGTTTTGGTCTAATGGAGTATGAGCTACTCTAGGTCCTTGAAATGTAGTTTCCTATAGTTTTGAGCTTATAGATTCATTAAAATGAGAGCTTGGATACTCTCATTAAGCCATGCAAGAGAGTTGGCGCTTTGGATGACTTTTGGACCAAAGGTTTGAGTTTATACCCTCTTGTATGCATGAAATGGCTAAAGTCAAAGACTTTATCCATTAAGACGGCTCTTTTTACCTAGATCTGAAGTTTGGTGCTCTGGCTTAAAGAAATAAGGACTTACCAAAGAAATGTGGATTCAACGCTGGTACGCCGGGCGTACCTGGAGGTACGTTGTGCGTAGGGGTGGCAATTGATGACACGGCACGACAAAAATACACGACACGAAATGAAATTGGGACGAAACTGAAATTCAAATTCGTGTTCGTGTCAACTGTAAAAAAACACGATATTGTGTCGTGTCGTGTTCGTGTTCAAAATTCGATACGAAATTGACACGATTTAGCATTTGTTTGTCGTGTTTTTCGTCTTTTTCGTGTTATGTATGATTAAAAATTAATTAAATAAACTAATTGTTATATTAAATTATCTTTGTCGTGTAGTGTCGTGTCGGTGTTTGTCGTTTTTTAATTGGTTCGTTTTCGTGTTAGTTAAAAAAACACGACATCGTGTCGTGTCGTGTTCGTGTTACATAAAACCTTGTCGTTTCGTGTCGTGTCAGACAAAAACACGACACGATAGCCCGATTTGCCACCGCTAGCTGCGCGTACCAGGTTTGTGGCTCGTAACTAGAAAGGTACCCTCTACTCTAGGCGTAGAAGGGAGTATGCAGGGCGTACTCAACCTAGGTGGAATCTTTGACTTTTTGACTTCATTTTGACCAGGATTTTGACCAAGTTTGACTTAGGGGTATTTTGAGCAGTAGTTTGATACTAGGTTATTGCTTATTGTATATATGATCTGTAGAGTTGGCATTTGGAGCAGTATTCTTTTCTGCTATCTTTTCAGACTGTAAGGTGGGTTTCCTCACTATACTTGTGGGTCGAAGGCACCAATGTCGACCCATTTGGTTATGTATCCTGATATATAGGATGTTGCTATGTTGTAGTGATCTGTTAGATTTGCATGATTATCTGTTTGTTGGTTATAAGTTTATCTGTTGCATATGTTGACATAGTGCGGTTGGGATAAGGCAATGCTGCTTTGTACGGAAGCCGACAAACCTAGGAGCAAACCAGACATAAGCTGTGGGCCGGTTAGGCAAGCCAGACTTATGTTGTGGGCTCGGGAGCAATCCAGACATGAGTTGTGGGCGAGAAAAGGCAAGACAGACTCATGCTGTGGGCTCAGGGATAATCCAGCCTGATGGATGTGGGCCTAGTATGCATGTTATTATATGTTTATGTGGTGGTATTTTGGAGAACTCACTAAGTTTTGGCTTACGGTCTAGGTGTTATGTTTCAGGTACTTCAGATGATCGGGAGAAAGTAAAGGCGTGATCGTACACATCATTTGGTGTCATGTTTTGGAGATGTTATGATACATTGATTTTGGATTATTTGTACTTGATCTTGGGTTCTTATGACTTGGGTTTGACTGAAAACAATGATTTCTCCTTAATTAAAAATGAAAATTTTTATTGTGATTATTGGATGTTACACAACAAGTCGTGAAAGGGGAGCGAGAAAGACAAACCCATATTTGATTAATATCATGTTCATTAAAACCATGTTCATATCTTCATCTTGTTCATCAAATTCAAATACATCTCCCCCACTATGCCCTCTTCGGTCACCCCTTTCTCCAATTTGTTGTAAAAGATCAGATGGTGATTAAGAATCACAGAAGAATCAAGAACATAAAACATAATATGAAAACCAATGCTTTCTCTTCCCTCTAAACTAATATCACATGAAATTTCTAGGGCTAAAAATCCCCAAAAATTGTTTCTGACAAATTCGAAAAATAGGGATGTGTTGTGAAATTGTTCAATTTTGATAACATTTTATGCCCATTTGGCAAATAATGAAGCAATTCTCTAAAGAACGGAGGTTGTGGATGGAGGTTTGATGGAAGTATAAAGATCATACGAGTTTTGATCAATGTGGGTCAGGTTTGAAAACGAGATTGATGAGTTTAAGCATATGGGTAACTGGAAAAGGTTGAGGAATCAGGTGGGGTTCCATTGGGCTTTGGCCTTCGGGATTCTAGAGTTCATTAGTGACCTCCTTTTCCAAAAATCATGAGAGAGAGGGGTGTGGTGGGCCCCACTTTATTTATTATTACATTTATATTAAAATAAAAGATAAATTTTTTAAGAAAACAAATTAAAATGGCATATTAGTCATTTTAACTTTAGCGATGACTAAATCCACATAAAAACACGGCTAAAAGGGACCATTAAGCAAAAAAAATCAAGATTTGGACTAAAACCAAAAAAAATACATACCCTAGGGGCTATTTTTACAGTTTTATCAAAATAAATTGGTGCGAAAGTTGGGTCCCATAAGGTTGACTGAGATGAAGTGGGAATAATGTTAAGAAATCATTGGCCTTCACATGGGTTTTATTTCCCGCCGTTCCCTTTTTGGAAAATGTATCACGTGATTGGTCTTTCTCCCTTCGTTACTCCCTCCGTTAAATTTGACGGCATATCTCATAAATGATACTCTTACAAACTCAAAAACAAAGGGCAAACCTTTATTCGATTGAAAAAACAAAACAATTTCGAATCAATTCATATATGGTATAGTAGCTATATTTCGTATTATTGATTTTTTGTCTAGGTGAAAATATGTTTCTCTATTTCTATCTCGCATGTATGTAACTACTTGGTTCTTCCTGTTTATATACATATATGAAAGAGTGCCATTCATTTGTTAGAATTCTAGACGGAGAGAAAGAACAAATTTATTATTAAACTTTCATGAGTATCTTAGGGAGGGATCATGTAGAGATCACTTTACTTCATCATATCGGTCCTATACCTAGGTTTTCTCGAAATACAATTGTAGGATAATCCACAAAATAGCATTTCAAGTGAGCGTATCAATATGTGTAAGGAGTGTAAAAATTCATAGGTGACAAAAAATATTGATTATACTAAAATTCAATATATACATACTCGAAATATTGTAAAGTATAAAAATGATGAAATGGTATTTTCAAGAAGTTACAAAATTTGTTTCCAGTTGTTATAACAAATTTTAGAAGGTCTCATAATGCAATACACCCTAGAGATCTACGAAGTGTCTTGAGATGCTCATGTACTTGAGTTTTTGGGTTAATGTCATTGTTCACCATCAAATTATTTGGTTCGATCACATTTGGTCATTTTTATTTTTGGTATTCTATGTCCCTAAACTATCAAAAATATATGTCAAATAAGTCATTATTGAAAGGAAGAACGTGAGTAGTATGGTGAACTAGCTCACCCACGAAACAAATTACAAGTAAAAAAACTAGATAAAATCATCCTCAAATCGATCAAAAGCAAATGTGTTATAAATATAATTTTTTATTTAATACAATGTTTGTCCTAATAATGTATCAATTAATTTGAATAAATTATATACAAAAACTTATTTGGTTATATTTATTTAATTAATAATTTATAAATTATTGCAACAATAAAAATTTATAAATAGCTAATAGATATAAAATGTATTTGAAAAATCTAAATAAGTTATAAAAACACAATATATTTATTGTTTTTGATTAAAAAAAAGTTTAATGGGATGGAGATGAATACGGGTTACACCATTTTTATGTAAAACGATAAAAATTAATGATTTTCACACAAATAAAACGGAATCAGAACCGCTGAATAATCAATTTCATGAATTCGTGATAAAAGTCTATAACCGATCATTTTGTCATAAAAATAGAACAAAAAGTAAAAATGGTGATGAAGTCATTCCATTCTTGTTCACTTTTAGTCCACTCGTATATCAAACAACAAAAACGAATAATTAGAGTTTCATTTAAACTACATATTTGGAAAGATCAATTAAAGCGTAGTGGGTAATTTCTATTTTTACAAACAACTATATAATATTTGGTATAAATTGATAGAAAGGGCAATATTTGGTATAAATTGATAGAAAGGGCCTATGGCCCATAAGATCGAACTGTACACTATACACTACAACAAACTATATAGCCCAATGCATATTTTTGGAGAGACTTCAGGTCTTTTAAAATGCTAAAGAACATTCTCATCACCAACCAAATGTAAAGAGCATTTCACACAAAATGGTTTAGATTTGTATCATAAAGTCTATGATTTACTATGCTTTCTCAATCATAAACATCTTCATATGTATATGTATTAAAAAAGCGAACATAAGCCTTGTATAAAAATATTTAGACTTTGTCTAAGGAAATTAGAACTTGCAAATTTGCATCTCACCTTTCTATTGCAAACACAAAATCCTGATAAATGTTGATAATTTTAATGTCATCTGATATTTGAGGTAATTGAGATTCACGTGGAATCAAAAAGATTTCGTCGTGATACCCAAACATATAAGGGTCAAAATACTACTTACAAAAACTGTCTTAACATAATCCAAATTAATATCCAAGTTATATAATTATCACTACACTCTATACACAAATTCCTCATTAACAAATACAACCCATAAAATAAAATATAAAAATAAACAGGTAAAGTTGCCTTTGTTACACAAAACAGGAACAATATATGCACAAAGTCTACTTTTGCTTTTATTTTCTCAAAACACTTTAAACAACACAAATCAAACCCTTTTCAAATTACAAAGAAATGACCTTCCCATTTACATTTCTCTTAATACCCGGAATCGGTGTGTAAATTACCGGAACGCCCTCATGACAATGTGTTCTGAGTTGTATATTTCGTGACATTTTTCTGCATTCCACAACCGATATACATATCGAGAACGCCTGTAAATCCGACAATGATGAATTATAGTCAACCGAAAATATACCTTCCTTCAATGGAGACAAATTAAACATCGGTTTCTTCTCCCCAATTTCACCCTGTAAATTAAAAAAAAAATTAAATAAAATTACATTGTATTTCTTCCATTTATAACTCTTCACAATATACCTGAACAAAAAGCTCAAACTGTGCACTAGTGTTCCGGTTAGTAAGAATTTTCAATTTGCACCCCTCATCCCAACCACCGCAGTCACATACCCCGCCAGACCGCCACCTGTCAGTCAACGATGAAGGCTCTCCTTTACTTGGAACACCATGGGTCCCGCCAGGTAGGACAACCGTTGTGTTAAACTTTTCTTGATTTCTTGAAAGCTTCACAACAATGGCTTCCAATTCTTCTTGTGGTTGGACATTCGAATTCACAGAGAATAAAACAAACTCCTGACTTTTTGATGAACTCAAAACCTTCATTTGAGCTGTTACATTAGGGACATAACCGTAATCTTTGCTTTTTGTCCCATGTGATAACCATTTAACGTTTTTTTTCTTAACCTCGTGAACTGTGAAAAACGTATAGATCGAGTTCCCATTATTGGATTTTCCCGAAGAAGTCAAACTGGTCAACGTGGCTGCAAGAATGTCGTTGCTTTCAACTGCAAATGTGAATAAAAGACGATCGTTTTTAATGGTTGTTTGAAAAAGAGCTTGTTTTCTTCTTGTTGTTGTTGATGATGATGATGATGATGGCACGACATCATCAACCCTAATTTCCTTGAAATCGAGTTTCAGTTTTGCTTTTGTTCTTGAATCTTCTTGGCTTTTTGATGGAAAAATCGGGTCCAATAGCCTTTTTAATGGGCTTGAATGGGCCCGGTTAGATGGAGACTCATGTCTTTCAGTGGGGCCCGTAGATTTTGAGCTAAAGCTAAAACGACGAAGTGGGGAAATACTTCTTGTTTTGACATCTGGACTCTTGAAAGAATTTGAATTTCTTGTTTCTGGGGTTTTGTTTATAATGAAATCTTGATTTGGAGATGATGTGAAATGAGATTGTAGAGTTACCCGGTTGACTTTTTGACTAGAAGGAGACCAGGTTTGACTTTGACATTGACTTTGACTTGATTGAGGAGACAATCCATCGGTTGAAAACAATGAAGAGGAATTGCTGCTAGATGATGAACATTTGTTGGTTTTAACAAATTCGTGTCTATGAGTTTGGAAATCTTGCCATTTTTGTAAGCGATTCCAATCCATGACTCCAAAGCTTAAAGCTCGATCATGTTTTCCATTTTCAAGATAATTTGGTAAATGCTTCATGTGTTTGATGATTTCTTCCATTTCCATTGAAGGTGTTGATGATTCCATTTCCATCTTGGGTTGACTTTTTACAACTTTGGAACGGAAGTCGGAATGGGAATGGTGACGTTTTTCTAATTCGAATTTTGACCGGAATGTGGCGCGATTAGATGCCAGCTCACCCATTTTATGTATTTCGGTTGTTTTTTCAAGAAAATTTCACATGATTTTGTGAACAAGAGGGAGATATGTCATCTGAAAACAACGATTAAGATTACAAATGAGAAACAATAGAAGAAAATTATAGTACATAAAGAGATAAAAAAGAAAAAGAAATACCAAATGTGTTACAAATAATTCAGAACATATGATATGTTTCCTACAAATAGCCAAAATCTTAAAAGATTCTTTAAAATCAAGAAAACACCAAGATAGCTAATGGTTTAGATTCTCCTCTATGGTCCCCCTTTACCCATTTGAGGTACAGAAAATTATTGCTTCAAAATACGAAATACTCCCTTCTTTCTTGTGAAAGTTTTAAAAAAAGTTGGCGACTTTGTTAAACATCACATCATAATCATAAAGTGGTCATTTTTTGGGATTATTCCTAATATAAAAAATACAATTATTTAACAAAATTTAAAGCTATTGTTAAAAGTTAACAATATTCCCAAAGACATTAAACAATTAAAGTACCAATTGGATATCGAAAAAGAAAAATGGCTTCACTAGTTTTAATTCAAGATGCTGAAATAAAACCTAGGAATAGTCTCTACACAAGGACTACGACAAGAAAGAAAATGAAATTAAGAATCTTGTGGTCCTAAAATTATTAACATCAGTGATGATGAAGATAAGATGATGACATTTCTGTGTATCATAAAAAAAAACTCCATAATTTAAGATTCCCTGTTGATGAAAAAGAAAGATGGATAACAATTCAAAAGAAGATTTTGAATATTGAACCTTTGATTAAGACAGGGGGAAACAAAAACAAAAAGCACAAAAGTAATTGAGTGGAAAATAAATCAAGAGGGCATTGAGCACATGCTTGCTTCAGTTTCCTTTTTGGTTATATCTACGCCATGATAGAATTATTCTCTGAATTAATCAACAAGCATATACACACTAAAGTAATTAGTAGACCCGAATCAACAAACATACATACAATAAAGTAGACCCAGATTCAAGTTATGATTCAACTTCAAAAGCAAGAAATACGCATAAAAAGTGTTTCTTTGACCATAACAATAACTGAATAACAAATGGAAATCAAGATCTTCAGTTGAAAATGCTTGTTACTTCAAAACCTGGGTGCTAATTTTTATTAAAACAGGGAAATTTTCTTCATTTTTCCGGTGAAAATCGTCGATTTTTTTTTCAGAGCTTTCAAGAAACATAAGAGCAGAACAATCACTCAAAATTTCTGCACTAAACAAAAACCATAAAAAACATAAACAGTAACAGTTTGAGTATTGATTCAAAAAGAATACTCACTGAGGCATTTAGTCGAACAGTTGCCTGGGGTATGAAGAAAATGCAGACTTTAACTGGTTCTTCAAAAGGAAGAACAATATGTCGGTGGGCGGTGGGCACAAAAACAAGCTCCTCACAGCAACCAAAGAAAACCGAACTTAAATCTCAATACTCAAAAGAAATCTCCTTTTCCCAAGAAAATCTCACAAAAAGATTTGACTTTCTACAAGTTCTTGTTCGTCATCATCTTCCTCTCCAAAATCCGAAGAAATTTTCACAGAAAAGTAGTGTGTGTAATAAGTGTGAAAATAGAGTGATGAAAAGTATTTTATGGGGTGTGAAACTGAAAGGGTTTTGTTTTCCTCGTTGGGGCTGGAAATCACTCGGTTTCTAGAGCAGTGTCAGAGGGTCGTTTTCGATCGGACGGCTGATGGAGGTAGAGATATTCGCGGGAGGTGGCCATATCAGAAGATTAGATGGGTGAATCATGTGGAACCCACTTCACGACTTCCTTTTAGTGCAAATGCGATTGTCTTTATTATTGGATGCTTAAAAGGCTATGCTTTTTTATCCTTTTAAAGTATAAAGTCTTAAAGAATAGAAAAACCTTACTCCCTTAAAAAATATTATAATATTATGCTAAGAATCGGTTTTGCATTACCCAAAAAAATACATTTTGTACGATTTAAATATAAATCCTAGGTTTTTACTAAGGGAATGTTTGGATTTGCTATAAAAAAAATTATTTGTTTCATAATACATGGCAAATCTAGTTTTTACTCTAAATAGAATCAAAATTATCATTATTTTGGTGATCTAAGTTGTTACAACGGTTCGTTTGAGATGTGGATTACTTATTTAATTTTAATTTCAATCTGTTCTTTCTAGTTTCTACTCTTAATAGAATCAAAATTTCAACATCACAATAATGATTTTTTAAATCATACATATAAACATCTCTAAAATATATGAAATATTTACAACTATAACCATATATGAAGTTATTCTTAAAGGGAATAATCAATAATTTTTTATTTTTTTTTACGAAAATGATCTATTTTTCTGGAATGGGTCATTTTGGATCCGAAATAGGTCGGACACACCATTGGTCCTTCTATTTAAATTGCTTCCGGATATGATATTCGCCACATCTTGGAGTTGCATTTCGGACGCTCGGGTTGTTGGCGAAAATTGGTTATAACGATGAAGACCTTATACGTTTTCTTAACATTTAATGCGAATTGTTACTTTCTTCGCATTTTTGAACGAACTTATGTTTATTTGGAGTTTGGGACATATTTTTTGAAATATTAAACTATGGTACATTTATGAACTTTAAAAGTGAGATTTTATAAAGTATTTTAAAATCACTCATGTGATAAATGTTTTAGAATAATTTTAAGTCATAACATAGTTTTACCATTGAATATGTTCTAATTATATTTTAAAGGAAAAAAAATGAGATGGACACCCCACCCCACCCCTTCCATGACTTTGTCGAACCATATCCTCACAACCATTTTCCTTCGTTCTCCGTCTCTTTTCTCTCATTGTTCTCCTTATTATATGAAAAGCATAAAAAGTTGAATATATTTTGTTGACGCACTTTGACAAACGTATATGGACCTCCTCTATATTGCTATTCCATCAGTAAAATTTATTTCCTCCATGGTGGAAACCCTACATACATCCATGGAGGAGAGATCGGAGGTGGCGGTGGTTGCAGATGAGTAACTAAAGATATGATCGCAAAGGCGTTGTTCTCTAAATGCTATTATTGAGGTGAAAATCTCACTTACTAAATCAGTATTGGTCGTCTCAATGACACCATAATAAGTTTAGAAAATGTCTAGTTGAGAGTCTTTGAAGGCAGCGATGGGATACTATGAAGCTTATATTTAACAAGATCTTAACGTCGAGGGTGATTATAGTAGGAAAATTAGGAATAGATCATGCATTATTCGGTTGTTGTATGTCGATATAGAGAACAAAATGGTTGTAATTACGAATACAAATGATATTAATTTGTGTTATTATGGTTTTGTTTCTATTAAATATTGTTAATAAAAAATGTTACATGTTGATGATGATATGAAAATTACATTACAAATTTCAACAATCGTTTTTACCTATGGAAGTTAGTACATGTGAATAATTGATTCTATGTAGGATTTATGTACATCAAAGGAAAGTTGTGTGTTTTTTTATTGTGTGTGTAAGATCGATTGTAATGGTTTGTCATAGGGATGAGCATTAGAACCGCCAGAACCGGAACTGGACCGGAACCGAAATTGGTAATAAGGACCGGTTACCGGTTCTCCATTTTTATGAAAATCGGTCCCGATTCTAAAAACCGAAACCGGTTTGACATTTTTTCCGTTTCCTAAAATGCGTATAACTCACTCATATGAAGTTGAAATTATTTGATTTTTTTTCCAACATGTAATTTGGAGTTTGTAATTTATTTATTTTACTGTACAAACATATTTTTTGATTAGCTATTGAATCAGACACATGCCCCAAAAGAAAGATATCGATGTTGTGTTTTTTCTATTTCAACATTTTTTTGTTTTTTTGAATTTGTCCTGTTTTTTTTAAATGTGCATAACTCATTCATATGACGTAAGAATTACTTAATTTTTTTTCCAACATGTAATTTGGTGTTTGTACTTCATTTTAGACTGTATAAAAACATATTCTGGTTAGATATTGAATCAGCTATGGACTCCGGAAGACAACATATTAATGTTGCATATTTTCTGTTTCAGCATTTTGTTTTTATTTTATTGGAATCTGTCCCGCTTTTAAAATGCGCACAACTCACTCATATAAAGTCGGAATTACTTAATTCTTTTTTCATCATGTAATTTAGTGTTTGTACTTCAATTTAGAATGTAAAAAGTCATAATTTGGTTAAATATTGAATCATTTACAAGCCCCGGAAAATAACATATCATCTACAATATTTCAACCGGTTCTAGTTTGAAAAACAACCGAAAAACCGGGACCGAAACCAGAACCGGCGCTAGAACGGGCGGTCCTGTTCCCGGTTTTTATAATATAGAAAAACCGGTTCCGATTCTGAACCGGTCCGGTTCTAAAGCTCATCCCTAGTTTGTCATAATGTTAAAAATGTTGTCAACGACTATGGAGAGCGACATTTAGGGTTTGTTGGATGAAGTTGGGGTAGAGGTGGGGGTGTGGTTGTGATCACATTTACAATTATTTTTATAAAAAAAATGCAAAAAAAAGACAATATAAAATGCTAAAGAAAATAAATAAGAACACTTAAGTAATTTTACATGACTTAAACATGACATTTTTCGTAACAAATGACAGACGTAGAACTCGTATGGTTTGAAAAAAAAAATTGTGAGTACAACAAACATACAAGCAAACCAATTTTATATTTTACTCAAACTAAAATAGCTAAACATGTCTAAATAATTAAGATGTTTTTATCGAAGGGATTGTAGCCCAATGATATAGATTTTGGTGAAAATGTGTCATTTAACCGAAGAATGATGGTTCAAATCTTGTTGAAGACAAAAAAAATAGTTTAAAAATAATATAAAAAGTATTTATGTTTGTCGTTCTAAATAAATTATTTTTTTTATGATAATTCTTAGTTCTTGTATTTGAGCTTTATGCTTAGTTATTGGTAATTTTCTAAATTGTATAAATAAATGTCGAATAACAACCCTACACTTAATATATATATATATATATATATATATATATATATATATATATATATATATATATATATATAATCGAATTATATATACAAACTCTAATCTGCTATAAAATTACAATATGCATTCGTAATTTGAATCTTTATCTTTTGAGTTAATGATCTAAGAGGGTAACGAACATTGATATTTGTCCATATTTAGGTAACCATGTTTTTTTCGTATATATTTGACCATTAAACTTGTTTGACCTATTCAAAATATGGTAATATGAGTGGTAATTATCGGTGATATTTCCCTATTATGAACATGTCAAACTAATTTTACTGGTTAAAAGTGTACGAAAAAACATGGTTACCTAAATGTGGACAAAAACAAAGTTCCTTACCTGTTTTGGTGATATTGGGTTCTTTATGCTAATTGCTAAGTGCAAGTAGCCATAAGACCCATTGATGTGACATGGAATCCGGTTATCGGGTCTTGGTGTCAGATCTGGAGTAGGTGTCGTTAACGGGTTCCTGATTTTATTCATAGTTGCCATTAGAGAACAAAATTGTTAGAATTGTCTCAGGGACTTCATGGAGATTAGTGTCCATAGTTATAACAGACCCAATAGTATTACCATAAACAGTAGTGTCATTTTGGTTACACGCAAGAACAAAATAAAACATATCTGAAAATATATTTATTTGAGGGACCTATTTTGTTAATGATTTAATAGTTTAATTAATTAATAGTAAGTAAAAAATATGGAATATTCTAGAATGAGTTGAATTCCATAGATAATTATAATTAAGTTTGGTGATTATCTATAGGGTTTCAAATCACTTCTCTATAAATTGAGGGCTCCAAATCCGATTTTAACACATGAGAAAAATATCTCTTAGTCTCAAAAGTTCGGAATCCTCAAAAACCCTAAGAAATCCCGAAATGCAGTTTTCACATCATGGTAGTTCATTTACCACGTTGTGGCCCGCGAAAAATTCGTGTTCTTGGCTTCTGTTTTCTGTTCTGGTTCGAGAGTTGCTCAATATCTATTTGTATCTTGTTTCTTGGGTGCGATTTCAGAAGAGGAACGTTATGTTGGGTTCTCTAGTCCATTCAACTGGCTCTTCAAAAGAAGAAACCTACAAAGAAAGTAAAAGTATGATTATATTCTATTGTGTTTTATAAGTTGCATATATTAGTTGAGTTAGATCTTGTGTTTTGAGTCTTAGATCATAATTGTTTGTTGTTTCCGACGCCCAATTATTGACCTTTGATAGGTTCGAAACCCATCAATGGTATCAGAGTGAGGTTAACTCAAGTCTATTGCACTTAGACTTTGTCTTGACACGTATGTTAGGGTTTGTATGTGTAGGGTTTTTGTTTTAAAAGACTAGAAATTTTCCTTGATAAAAATCGAATATGTTTATGCTTGAAAAACGATGTTCTTGGACGTTCCGCCTCTTCGCCACGTTGTGGTTGGTCCTCCGCCACGTCGTGGACTCGGTTTGGATCGCGACTGTCTTCGTCGCCACGACGTGGTCTTTTCTTGGCCACGTCGTGGCCATATGCTGAGAACTAAAATAATAATTCAATAAAATCACATGTTTTCTGTGTGCCAAGACGTGGCTATTCGTTCCCCACGTCGTGGAACATGAAGTTCCACCATTTTCTAAATTCATTCTTATTTTGGTTGCTCATCTTTTGTTATTTTAAACACATAAAAACTAGCATTTATACTAGAAGATAAACTCAATTTGATTTAATTATGAGATTAACTAAAAGA